GTGTGATGGCAAGAGGAGAAGGGGACGACCGAGGATGAGATGGCTGGACAGTGTCTGCGAAGCAACCAACATAAACCTGACACAACTCCGGGAGGCAGTAGAAGACAGGAGGGCCTGGCGTGCTCTGGTCCATGGGGTCACGAAGAGTCGGACACGACTAAACGACTAAACACACACATAAATGACTGACTTTGTGGCCTGCAAGCAAAGAAAGTCATGAATCAAAATCAACCAATTATAATTTATGAATTATTACTAAACTCTGACTTTACCTGAGGGTAACGAGAGAGGTATGGACTTAGCAGGGCCTCAGCCTCTGTGAAATCATCTTCCCCGATCCCTGGGAGGAACACAGAAGGTGCAAAAGATTAAAGCTGCTCTCCCCGCTAGATCATTCATTCATGTTGATGCCCCAACGGCTTTTTCATGCCATCCAAAAGATTTGTTCCCAGAGCTCTTGCAGTGATCCAGAAGGGTGCTGAGGGTGCTCTCTGAGGACTACACAGGCAGCCCTGAATACAGTGCCTTCCTGGGTCAACTGAGCTGTCAAGCCACCTCTTACCCTAAGCCAGGGAACCAGTTGTCAAGATTCCTGGAATATATTCTGTTCCTCAGAGCTTGGATTAGAACAAGGAGGTCTCAAAGGAGGAAACACCTCAGTCCCATTTTCTGTCTTGCTCTACCTATGAAACTGACATGGTTGCCTATGGCTGCCACCCATCTCACAATGATTTTTTTCTGACTGACTGACTGATAATCATTTGTACAGCACATTTCAAATGCTCACCATGCTTCAAATACTTTATCTCTATAATCGTTAGTGCCATTCATATACGATAAGGCCATGATTACTTCTGGTATTTAAAAGAGAGAGCTTGCTTTCCTGTTGATGGCCAACTAGAAGATTTATGACTGAAGGAAGAATAGAACTGAGGAGTTTTTCCCATGCAGCCACAAGCAGAACTGGCTCCCTTCTCTCTCCCCTTCTAATGTCTCCCTTCTCAATTCTGCCGATAACTCCTCAAAAGCACCCTAGAACTCTGTGCTCAAATCCACATAAAATGGCAAGAGCCCACTGCAGGAGATGATCTTGCACAACACCCTTGTGGAGGAACCCCAACCCAAATCAAAACAAAGGAGAAAAACCAGCAATGCAGGCATGGTGGGGGGAGAGATGGGGGGTCTCGTCGATTCCCTCCCCGCGGGAGAGCAGGAGTGGCATTCCCATGCTGTCACCTAAGATGAAGGTAAGGAAGGTGTAGTAGCACAGGAGCAGCATTGTGCAGAGCAACGCCCGCAGGTTGGGTGTGGTAGCCCCCTGGCGCAGCTGTTGCAGACCATAATCCTGGTGGGGAAGAAAGAATAAGAATTAGTCAGAAAAACCTAGGGTTGAAATGGAGAGGGAGGGAGGGAGGGAGGAAGAGGGTGACAGGGATTGTGGTTCATCAATTAGGACTTGTAGGGCACTGTTCCACCCCAGGCACAGACTAATACCCACCAATCCAGTCTTTAAAAGGCAGAAGGCCCCTGTGTTTGTGTGTGTGTGTGTGTGTGTGTGTGTGTGCTTGCCTCCCTCCCTCTCTGTAAATGCCCACGTTTGCCCCATGTTTATCCCCAGCGTTACTTTCTGCCTGACCAATTATAGTGGGCACCTGCCACCATTTTGGCCCTTGGAGGGAGCCACTAGATAAGCAATATAGCACACAGGCTTTGTAATAAAGAACCCTATGGTTCACTCCAACCATTTTAAGGTAAAATGAGCTAAGTTGGGCTTTTTTTCTAGCAATGTTTTGGGACTACGCTGTAGTCAAAGTGGACAATGCTGGGTGAGATGGACCTGAAGTGTAGCTCCCAGCATTCTCCAGCCACCATGGTCAAAACCTGTATACAGTGGTGCCTCGCTTAACGATTTTAATTGGTTCCAAAAAACACATTGCTATGGGAAAACATTGCTAAGCCAAACGGGTTTTCCCATAGAGATGCAATGAAAACTGGATAATCCCAATGGGAACGGATTGCTGTCCTTAAGCGAAAATCGCCATAGGAAACATCGCTAAGTGAAACGCGGTTTCCCCATTGGAAGGCATTGAAACCTTTTCAATGCATTTCAATGGGGGAGAAAAAAAATCACCAAAAATTCAAAAAGAGTCAGAACGAAGCCAAATTTGGTTAACAAAGGGTTTATTAAGTGCACTAACGATTTCAAGCACTCTAAACCCATTTAAAACAATTTAACACCTTTTAAAAAGAGCAAAAACGGAGCTGTCAAAAACATCGCTAAGCAAAACAGGGGGACCTAAACTGTCATCGCTAAGCGAAGCAAGGTCCCGAACATCGCTATGCGAAATTCCCCCATTGGAAACATCGCTAAACGGAGAACAAGATCGCTCCTAAACCCTCATTGCTAAGCCAATACATCGTTAAACGAGGCAATCACTAAGCAAGGCACCACTGTATATTCTGGACGGGCCAGATGGACTGTCTCTCTTAAGATGAGCTACTACATTCTGCCTTCCTAAACCTACAACTAGAGCTATAACTAGCAATTCTGGTACCCAGGGCTGGTAGCACTGACTCCCACCCACTTCACCTTGAGATGATATGGGCATGAACCCTCCCCACCACCACAAGACAATGAAGGGGAACATAATATCCCTCAAAAAAGAAAGGTTGTCACACATGTACGCACGCACAGAAGGAAGGAAGGATCATCAATAGATTCACTTCCAGATTTTGACACTCTCTACATTTTGGTGCCCTAGGGCAAAGCCCCAGTTGCCCTGCTGTCTTTACATCCCGTCACAGGGGCAAACACAGAGCTCGAGCAGGCAACTGTACCTTGTCTCCTGAAAACCCCGCAAACTCCAATAGTCTGAGAATCCGGGGTGGAAAGAGAGACAGAGTCTGTGGAAAAAAGAAAACAGCAAGAATAACAGTGTAGACACTCATGAGGACAAGTCTTCTGTCTTAATTTGAGATACTCCAAGGCAAATATCTTCATTCGACCATCCCCTCTTCCGACAATTACAGAAAAGCATAGTCCAGCATTTTGGGGCACCACTTGGGTCCATATCGTTCTGTCCATCCTTACAGATAGTTCTACATTTATATAGCATTTTGTTCTTTATAACGAATATGAAATAGTACTACTTTCCTTCCCAAACACACACAGATGAAAGAGACTCTGGTCTTGAGTTCAGAATGCCCATCCATTTAAATAAATGAACCAACATGTCTGCATACAAAAAGCTAACGTGCCAGGAAATTTTGTCCTAGCATTCTCCTTTTTATGCTAGTTTTCCATACAACATTTTTTAAAAGGCTCTTTCTATCATGTGAAAGCTTCAGGATCTCAGAAAGGATTAGGGCCTTCTTTCTGCCTTTAGCAGCTTGTCTGGGGTGGGGTGGGGAGGAACAATAACAGAATCTTTTCCAAGTTGGAGCTGGCAAAGCTCAACTTGCCAAACATATTCAGAACAGTCCATGATTAAACCATCCCCTGTGCTGCCTTTTCTTTGTTCTGATTTCTGTCCTATTTAACAATACTACAATATGTGCCTGATCTTTGTGTTATTATGTAGACAAGTGTCTACACATTTTAAGTTCTAATTGGGTCTAGGGTAGATTTAAAAGCAAAGAATGGGGGGAGAACTCGCTGCCTTGAGATTTACATTTTAAAATGAAGCAATGGCTGAAATCCAGTAATAGGTTGCAACTAAAATAGGCTCACTGAATAGGTGTTGACTCACTAAATCCTCGTTGAGTGAATGGGCCTACTCTAGTTGCAAGTTGCTACTAGATTTCAACCACTATGTTCCATGCCCTTCATTATGTACATATACTGTACATAATGTACCGTAACATCAGTACACAAAGTAAACCAAGTAATATCCATACATTGCATTGCTAGAGTGGTACATTCAGCACAAAGTCATTTTTTACTATGTATAGGGAACAATACAGTCTCCTTATTTGCTGTTACTGTGTCGCTTTATATAACAAGATTTATAATCATGTGTCAGTCAGGTGACCCACTGAGCAGAGCACAAACCAGTTGCTTTTTAAACTATAATTCCCAGAATCCCTCAGGCTGTAGATTTTCAGAACCACATTTAAAAAATTCTGGCTTATCTTCACATCGTTGCTGTGTGTGCGAAGTGGGGAGGAGACCCAAGTACCCTACACTGATTGCGCAGGAAGGAAGACAGAATGGGCTATAAATGTAACACACATCACCAAAGCCACCCCCCCAATTCTCACCGGACACAGAGCACCCAGGAGAAACAGAAGGGAACTGTTCATTGGCCTGCCCTGCCTCATCCCCATTAAGGAGGGCAGACTGAGGGCTTGGTTCTACTGACAATATGAACCACTGTTGTGTCGGGGTAGATGCAGGTTAATACAATTTACAGTCACCTGACTGACACATGATTATAAATCACTATTAGTGTTTCCACCTCCTATCAGCTGGGCTGTAGGGGTGTGTGCCCACTCTTCCCCACAGGAGGAGGTGACACTCCCCGCCCCCCAGCTCTGGACCAGGCAGCTCACCTGGCATCTGGGGAGCCTCGCTGCTTTCCGCAGGGTGGGGATAGCCCAGAGGCAAGTGACTGAGGAGAAGAGAAGGTGGAAAGGATTTGTGGAGGGCTGTGGGGTGAGGAGAAAAGGTTGGCTGAGGAAGGGGAGGGGAGGGGAGGAAGGCTGGGCTTGGCTGACTGGTGGTTGGGAATCAGCTGTTTGGTGTGATGCCAACTTTTTCAGAAAGAGGACACCAATGCTTCCCCCCTTCTTTTTAATTTCTGCTATCTGTTTTATCAGATAGCAGGATTTTTTTTTAAAAAATAACATGGCAGGGGCATTCAAACATGCAGAATCTATTCCAATGAACTGATTCCACATCTGCATTAAATTAAACAGGCCTCTGGCAGATGAGTAGAAAAACTCGCTTCTACTCAAAATAAAAAGATCCCATTACAAGAGGTACTGTGTGCACGTACCTCTTACATTTGCCAAAAGTTTAATCAATTTTTTAAAAGCAGAACCCAGTTCAACAATGGGTTTTCATTGTCAGTGGAGCTTTGAGACAGTCTGGTCCAAAGGATGCCAGTTCCTGGAAACTGATCTTGCTCATGTGAATCGCTGGTTTTAGGGCCAAAAGGAAAGGGGTTTTGAATGACTCTCCTCTGCTGAAAGAAAATGCCTTATCCTATTCTGGGTATTGTTAACTCTCTCAAATCAATTTGCAAACTTCTGACCATTGTTTAAACCAAAGGTCCCCAACCCCCAGTTCGCAGCCCAGTGCTGGTCCATGGCCTGAGCTGGATCGGGCCGCAGAGACAGACCTCCCCCCCATGCACTCACCACCACACAGCTGATTTGCGCATGTGTGTGAGCGCCGCACTGCCGCTTGCACATGCACACAAGTGGGCATGCCCGCACAAGCAACACACCACTGTGAACGCTGCACTGCCACTTGCACATGCACACGAGCGGGCATGCCCGCACAAGCAACACACCACTGTTTGTACATGCACGCATGCTCATTCGCACATGCGCACAAGCGCAGGGGGTGCCTCACCTTCCCCAGCCAGTCTGCTGGATGAAAAAGGTTGGGGACCCCTGGTTTAAACCACCCTTCTCAATAGTTTATCAGGGAACACAACAGAAATGGTAGTAGCTGTTTCTCAAGTTTTTATAACTGCTTTGTGGCATAAGCTCTCAAAATAGGTATCTGACCTGTCAGAGTCTGATGACAACAGAGCAGTGGCATGCCTTGAAATTATGTGTGGTTGGCTGTTACCAAGAGCAAATTTTCTTTCAGAGAGGAAGGACAGATTCAATTTTTAAAAAATCTGAGATAAACAGGAAGATAAGACACATTTCCCTAGTGTAAACACATCCTGAGGAGCCACATTCCCTTGACCGTGACCAGCCTTCCAGACCAGTTTCAGCTAGTTGCATGTTATCCAGCGCTCTGTTGGGCAAGCTAGACAGGCTGTGTGCTGGAGTTCAACCAACAAATTTCCTCCAAGATACTTGAAAACTACTACAAATCTTGTGAAGCGCAGGCCAAGATGGTCTAGAGCACTGGTTCCCAACCTTGAGTCTCCAGATGTTCTTGGATCACAACTCCAACATAGTGGTGAAGGCCTCTGGGGGTTGTAGTCCAAGAACATCTGGAGACACAAGGTTGGGAACCAACGGTCCAGAGGCTGCTACAATGTAATCATATAGAAGCCAGCAACCAGAAATTTGGTGAGTTGCTTTATATCGCTGGATATTGCACTGGATAAGAAGTGTGGTGTGGGCATTGGAGTGCTGGAGCAAGACATACATTTTAATGATCCTTTCACCATGCAACTTCTTGTATGCCTTGAGCCAGTCACACTTTCTCAGCCTGATCTACTTGACTGGGTTGTTGTGGGGGAAAGGAGAGCCATGTATGCTGCCTTGACTTACTGGAGGAAATGTGGAGTGGAAATCTAGTCCATCCATATATGTTGATATGGGAAATTCATTCCCAGTGTGTCTCACAGCAGCTAAACATACCACCGCTAGCAGTAGGGACAGAAGAGCCACAATATATTGAACGACATCAATCGATGGCTGCTAATAACCTATTCTCTGTTCTTTTGCCTATAAGAGGTTCTGGACAAAACTCACCAAGTTGAAAGCACCAATACCTAGTGCGATTCCCCCCTCCAGATGGACACGAGCAGAACTTGATGGCAAGTGATTCGGACGGATGCAGCTGTTGAGCTCTCTGCAAACAGAACGTGATTTAGAGCAGTGGTCCCCAACCTTTTTGCCTTTACGGACCAGTTTAGCATGGAGGGTGTGCCCGTTTGTGCATGTGAGAGGCCACGTGTGTGCATGGGAGGGGTGTGCATGTGTGGGAGGAGCCACAGAAGGAGCCATGCATGTGTGGGAGGGGCCATGGAAGGGTTTGCATACCCAGGATTGCATATTTCTGCATCATTTTCGTTGGCCATAATAAATTCATTATCTATCTGTGGATTCTGGGCATTTTCCCATTTATTGTACCCACATGGCTACCTTTATTTTTTTAGATATGAATGTGCGTTCTTCTTAGAACAAAATGTACATAAAATGCAGTTCCTTCTCTAAAATATTAAATAGCACTACTTAAGACAAAGGTGCAGCAGATTTCTGTATCCATAACAGTCTATGTTCAGGAAGTGCCAATCCGGAAAAGGTAAAAGTTTGCATTGGAAAGTAATCACAATAAAAAATATTCTTATCTCAAATTTTCAAAAAGTGTCATGAATCTTAATTAATTACTTCTCTCACTGCTTTTAAGTATGGAAACAGCATCCATGTTACATATCCATAATACTGTAACAAACTGACTAAAGGCTGTGGTTTCACCTTAAGAAGAAGCTGTGGTTTTACTTTCCTTGCAGGAAAGAAAGGATATTGAGGAATTCAATAAATATATGCTTGTGTGGCCCATGGCTATTTCTTTCCTCTCTTTTCAGTTACACACAATTTCTCATCACCCATTTTAGAAGGAAATTCCTATTCATTTACCATATGAGAAGTTTTGAGAGGCATCTATGTTAGTCCGTTTTATTTTCTGACTTACTAAAAGAAAAACAAAAAAGTATTTTGACACCTTTAAGACTAACACGTTTCTTTCAGTATAAGTTACAATGGATTCCAGTCATAGAATACTTGAGTCGGAAGAGGCTGATAAGACCATCGAGTCCAACCCCCTGCTCGAGGCAGGAATCCAAATCAAAGTGGATCTGACAGAGGGTTGTCCAATTTTCTCTAGTGTTGGAGCATTCATCACCTCCCAAGGTAAATTGCTCTACTGTCATGCTGCTCCAACAGTTAAGAAGTACAGTGGTGCCTCGCATAACGATGTTAATTGGTTCCAGGAAAAAAAACGTTATGTGAAAACATCGTTAATACTCAGTCAAAATTTGGGTTCTTGTAACTTGAGCGCATTATTATGTGTCTTTTACTCTGGGATGATCAAGAACAGATCCTGCCCCTCCTCTGTATGACAATCTTTCAAGTATTTAAAAAGTGCTGTCATATATCTCCTCAGTCTTTTTCCCCTCAAACCTAAATGTAGCCAGTTCTTTCATTCTTTCCTCAAAAGGCTTGGTTTCCAATCCCCTGATCATCCTTGTTGCCTTCCTCTGAACTTGTTCCAGTTTGATGGCATCTCTCTTAAAGTGTCCAGAACTGGGCACAGGATTCTAAATGAGGCCTAACAAAATAGAGAGGAAGTACCTGTAGTGGTTCATGGGATCTGGAGACAATGTTTCTGTTAACGCTGTCTAAAATAGCATTAGCCTTTTTAACAGCCACATTGCACTGTTGGCTCACATTCAGCCTGCGATCTACAACAATTCCAAGATCCTTTTCCCTCACCCCCCACAGGTTTAGAACGTTGCAGTTTTTGAAGAAATCTATTTCTCCAAACAACTGTGTATCTAAAGAAGTGGACCGCAATCCAAAAAATCTCACACTGGAATAAGTTTGATAATCTTAGAAGGCACCACAGTATTTTGGGTGTGTTTCTGTTATTGCCCAAATAGGGATTCTTTCTGACACTTCTGTGCAACAAGTGTATATGGAACACAAAAGCCAGAAATCTTAGACGCTTCAATTTCATATGCTTGTTTTTCACCATTTTACATTTCAAAATATATCCTGCATCATACATTGTTCCACAAACTGTGCCATTTCACACTGCAGTGTAAGGAGAGGGAGATTTCTCATTTTGTGCTCCCCCAATTAAAATATATGTAAGCACCTTCCAGCACACAGAAAACAAGGAAGGCTAATTAACACCTCCCTGGCATGGGACATAAAGGGATGACATCTAAACAATAAGCTTCTCTAGCCTACATCTGTAGTGATGCATGGAAGCTCTGTGTTGTCTGCCAATGCAGACTGGCCCTAAGCCTTTTATTTTTCCAGAGGTAGGTACAGTGATGTAACCTCCTCCTTTTGTCCTTTCACAGATACTGCCTCTTGCTCCCACCTTCTGCTACGTGTGAATAAACCTTGTTCCATTTCCCCAACCCTGCCTGCTGCCAGCACAACTCACCTGTAGATGAGGTAGCTGTTACGCACCTTGATTCCCCCTTTTATAAAATTCACCATATTTTCATCCTGCAAAAAAGAGAAGGAGAATGAGGTCGAAAGTCCCCAGTTGCAGAGGCTCACTCTGTTCTTTGGTTCAACGTATCTAAGTGATGCCACTTCTAGAGTGAGACGGTTTAACATATGTGTCAACCACAGATGGCGACGACCAGAATGAATCAAGGGCACCTCACAGCACTGGACCCGAGATCATTACAGACTGGGAGGTGGGAAAGCAACCACATTCAGTGGGTCACAGGCAACTCTGAAGGCTCTTTTGATGCTCTTCGCTTCCTGCTACCGCCACGCCCATCAAAAAAAGGGGGAAACAATCTTGGTGGGCTTGTTGTTGTTGTTTTTCTTGCATAGGCAATGTCTCTCAGACTTTCTTGAACACAGACTCCCTTGAAAGTTCCAGCCCACTGGGAGCCCTCTCTCCAATGATAAAGTATACAGAGTCCTCGTCTGTGGTCATATTTGTATGTTTGTATGGTTGTATATATTGGAACGCTGATTCAAAACTGATGTTACCGAATGTCTAGAATGGAAACTAGACACCTTCTCCCAAAACCAGTGCCAGAAAGGGGCAAAAGAAGGAAGGAGTTGCTTTGGCCAGGTGTTCTGCCAAGTTAGGAGAGGTACCTGGCAGGCTGCAATGCTAAATTTCTCAACTGCCCAAAAGAAAATGTTTCTGGCTCTGTCTGCTGCCTCTCTTTGTCTCCTGGAAATGTAACCTTCCATTCCACACTTTGAAAATTATCCTCTAAGTTAGCCTTTCCCAAAGATCAAGTGTTTTGGACTAGTGGTTCTCAAACGTGGGTCTCCAGATGTTCTTGGGCTGCAACTTTCTGACATCCTGGCCAGCACAGCAAGTGGCGAAGGCTTCTGGGAACTGTGGTCCAAGAACTTCTGGGGAGCCCAGTTTGAGAACCACTGTTGGACTACAACTCCCAGCATTCCTGAATATTAGCCTTGTTGGCTGGAGCTGATGGGAATGAAAGTTCAAAATATCAGACCTGGGAGGCCACTGGAATGGAACGGAATTGGCCGTTAAGAGCACTGCAAAGGGAAAACAATCCTCTTACCTGGAGGAAGGTGAGGGCTGCCCGGTGCAATAAGCATTCTGCGTAGCACACTTCAGCATGCAGCTCCTCTGTAACAAGAAAGGTATGGATCCAGAGGGTGTGGGTGGGGAGCACCTATCGTTTGTTTCCACACCCCTGTCATTCACCCCTTAAGTGCACATATTCACCCTATGTTTGCATCAAAGGCAGCTGCCCCAGAACCCCTACTGGGAGGCAGACGAGGACCACGATAACCTACAGAAGGACCCCCATCCCTCTCATAAGCCAACCTTGTCCTATCTCAAATCAGAGGAAAGATAGGAAGATAAAAAATTTCCGTGCTAGAACAGACCAAGGCCCATGTAGTCCAGAAGTGAGGATGGTGTGGTCCTCCAGATGTTGTTTGACTGTACTGTATGTTCCATCAGCCCCAAGCAGAGCATCCAATGTTCAGGGATGATGGGAGTTGTTTGACTGTATGTTCCATCAGCCCCAAGCAGCACATCCAATGTTCAGGGATGATGGGAGTTGTAACCAAGCAACACCCACAGGGTCACTTGCTACCCACCCTAGATGTGGTCCAATCTTTAGGCTTCCAACAGCAGCTAGTTAGATGCCTCTGGGAAGCTCAAAAATACTAGATCATCCCTACCCCACATGGACTGGGAAGGGAACCTAGTGTTCCATCAGCCCCAAGCAGCACATCCAATGTTCAGGGATGATGGGAGTTGTAACCAAGCAACACCCACAGGGTCACTTGCTACCCACCCTAGATGTGGTCCAATCTTTAGGCTTCCAACAGCAGCTAGTTAGATGCCTCTGGGAAGCTCAAAAATACTAGATCATCCCTACCCCACATGGACTGGGAAGGGAACCTAGCCATTTTGACTCCCTTCTCTTCTGCTTTAACTCTTCTCACCCTCAGCGCAGGCATCTCCACCTTGTCGACTGGAGAAGGAACTGCTCATGGTGCTTTTTCTCCGAAACCTAACAGGGGAACCCAAAACAGGTAGTGAATTAGGTTTCTTGTCTTCCACACCTCCTATTTCCATTATATGTCCAGATAAAATGGTGCCATTTTCCTTTTACTCCTCAATTAAAAACCATTTCCCCCAATCAAGGCCTATGTTCGCTCTGCCCACATATACCATTCACACAGATGCCTTTCTGTTCCAACTTTCAAACTAAGGGAAAATACTTTGAAAATAAATGTCCACGAGGAGGTAGCAGCGGTGGTGGAATGGCTTCTCATCTGTGAATCACAAACGTGTCCGTTCCCAAACTTTGATCAGAATGAGAGAGAAAAATCACCTGTCCACAAATCAGGTAATGAGCTAGTTCAGCTTTCGAGGGGAAGAACTCCCTATTTACAGTTTTCAGCTGCTGTCCTAAATGAACGTACACCATCCCTGTAACACAAAAAATCCTATCCCTAACTCTTCTCCCACATATGGACTCCAAACGGCTGCCCGCCTTTGCAAACTCTCACCTCTGACAAATCTCCTGCGCTTCTTTCATGGTCTGTCCAGCATGGACAATGTCATCGTGTTCAAAGGTCATCACAGCTTGCATCTCCAGGATGGTGGCATAGATTAAGGCATGATACATGCTTTCTCCTGCCCTGCAAAAAAAAAAAAGGGGGGGGGAATAATTAACAATCCATGAGCAAAAGGAAGAAGACAATATCACCTAATTAAAATAATCAGGGAGTGGATTGTATTTTTCTCCCAAAGCTCACTTTGATCTTGCCGTACTGAAAAAAAAAATCCAAGGAATGGAGTAGGGGAGTCATTTTAACTTCACCCAAATCCATCATCAAATCAAATCTTAGCTCTCTAACAAATAAATAAGCAGGTGTAATGTTCCTAGTTAGAATATTTTTGGTTGTTCTGACCAGGAAAAAAAGGGGGGAAGGAAAGAACATCTGGGACGTTCTCTAAGAACTTCCTGGTTGAGCCGCAGGAACCCTGCTCGGTTGCTGTCTTCAACTGAGATGCAGACCTGCTGGTTTATAGGAGCACCATCTGAATTAGAATAAGATCTGGCCAGGGAATGGAGTGATGATGGTGGATAGATAGTCAGGCTTATTCTGCTATTAGGAGAAAAGAGAGGGTTTTTTTTTTCATCTGCACTCTCCCTCTCTATCTTTTTTCTTCCTGCCTCTGCTTTTGCTAGCAAAGTCTGATGCAACCACCCACTCATAAAAATGGATTTGGATTTCAGGAGCATTTGCTTTCTCAAATGCATGCATGTATGGGGGAGGCACTGTCCACCTTCTAATATGCACAGTATTTAAGGGGGTTGTATGCTGCTTTTCCTGAGTTAAAACCTGTCTATAAGACTGAAATAATCATAAAGTCTTCTTAGATTCTACAAGCTGCCTTACAAAAATACATGATATCTTGCCAACAAGACACAGGTCGCCTCCAAAGGCCCTGTAAAAAGATGAGTTTTGTGCCCACTCCAGAATGCCAAATGGCAAAATCTGCACAAGTCCAAATGATCAATTTCATGTCACAAAGGTGGGAACTCAAGAGTTTCTCCAAAATTTAGTTTTTCCTCATTTTGCGTTCCACCGCTTGTTTTAGATTTCAGGCAGTGCCCATCACAATACTTCCCTCTCTATCCCCCCCCCCACTTCTGAAGCATTTCACTCAACACTGCATACCCATCACCTTTTCACAGACTCAGGACAGAACACGTATTGATGAGAGAGCCACTTGGTGATCACCAAAACACATGGCCCTCCCTGCTTTTCTCCAACACATAAAGCCTCTGCACTCTTAAGTGTCTCCACACCCACAAGGGATACCCAAGGAAACTGAACAGGGCAGAGAAGTTTGCAGCCAAAGGATGATGCTTCCAATGATTGTCATGAGTCACCCAGTTTCAGCCTCAGTCACTGGAGCTATCAGCATAATAGCTATGGCCTCGAACAGCTGAAGTATCATGAATAGGTTGCAAGGTCTCAGGGCACTGGCTGAAATTTCTGGGAATTGCTGTTTATTCTAGTTCTCCAGGTGGGGAGGCAAATCTCAGGGCGAGCAACAAAGGAAGACGAGTCATGTGGTTTTTGCTTCTCAGGTGGGCGGGCGCTGGGCAGCCATCTCCGCCCTTTCCCAGGCACTGGCAGATCGCACAGGTTCAAGTGTTAGAGAGGGCTTGTAGGGGTGTGAAATGTTAGTGTGGCAAAAAGCTGAGGGGCAAGGGAGAGAAATTGGAGCCAGACGACCAGAATGCGTTTTGCCACCTGCTGAGCAGCCAAAGCCAAGTGTCCCCCCCACCCCACAGCTCCAGATTCTTTTATTTATTTAAAATATTATGTCCCACCTTTCTCCTCAAGAGGATCCAAGGAGGTTGGGTTGCCATATTACTGGCGAGCTTTGTTTTGCCTAGATTCTGGGCTCATACTTGGATCCCTCTTGTTGCAGTTCCCACAGTCAGTTGACCCACAAGTAGTTTTAACCTCATTCCCAATGCTCGATGGACCCACCTCTTTGATATCAGTGGGGCTGCTACTTGACCTGGAGGTCAGATTTCGGCTCTGTTCTTACCCTCACTTTTAAAATACTGCTGTTGCGATCGATTAGCACAAACCCTCTTATTCCGGTCAGACGTTTTCAAGTGGTCATGACGGTCCCAACAAAAATGAGCACTATAAACTCATCAAATCTAACAGACTAAATCTACCTCCCCCTTTAGACCACTTTGTCCCATATCCCAGAGACTTTCATCCCTTTCCAGACACAAGTGCTTCATTTGTGTAAGTTACGATCATACCATTTGGGGCCTCAGTTGCCGTAGGGTGGAGGAAAACCTTACAGAAAGTACATCTAAGAACTGGGCCTATGGACAGGGTTGGGGGCGGGTGGAAAGGCCATGTCCTGAGCCTGGACTTTCTGGGCCTGGAAGCAAGCAGGTTGGGTTTTTCCCCCACTCACCTGGGCTGCAGCATTTCCAGGCTCTCACTGAACTGGTTACGCAGGAAGCAGTTCAGGGCTGCTGTGCACTCGGCCAGGGCAGCCTCCAAGGAGCTACTGCAGAGACAGGAAAGGCAGAAAGGAAGTTTAATGGTTTAATGGAACTGGGCTTGCCCCCAAGAACCCCCTGGTAAGACTGGCTATTGTAGAGCAGACCTTGGAAAAGTTATTGTTGGACTATAACACCAAGAACCCCCCAGGGGGATACAAGGTATTGTGGTGCAAGAAAGAAAAGGAAAGGAAAGGAAAGGAAAGGGGAGGGGAGGGAGAAAGGAAGGAAGGAAGGA